AAGAGTTTTTTTTAAGTAATCCCTACACCCAATGTGGGGCTCGAACTCACAACCCCAAGATCAAGGGTTGCGTGCTCTGCTGACTGAGCCAGCCAGAAGACTCAGTAGGCACCTACAAAATTGCAGTTATCAATAACCAGAGGTAAAACATCAACATGGTCTAACAAAGCCTTTTCCTTTCTGGCAAACAAATATCTTAGATGTGTTTGCTCAATGTCATGGTTTTATCTCTCTCTCTCTCTCTCTCTCTCTCTTTTTTTTTTAATCATTGTGTTATATAGAGACTTAGGGGAAATTAACCAGAGATGCTTTTCCACATGACTCTGTATAGGCCTCTTGGTCCTATGTCTGTTCTACGGCCACCTCATACTTATAGGCAACATGTAAATTGCCCAAATTATTTTTAAAAACAGTAATGTATTATTGTTTGATGTGCAGAACTAGTGGTGCTATAAAACTTCATTAAAGTTTCATTAAAAGCAACTTTTTGGGGGGCACCTGGGTGGCTCAGTCGGTTGAGCGAACGACTTCGGCTCAGGTCACGATCTCGCGGTCCGTGAGCTCGAGCCCCACTTCAGGCTCTGTGCTGACAGCTCAGAGCCTGGAGCCTGTTTCAGATTCTGTGTCTCCCTCTCTCTGACCCTCCCCTGTTCATGCCCTGTCTCTCTCTGTCTCAAAAATAAATAAACGTTAAAAAAAATTTTAAATAAAAGCAACTTTTTGGTTCCTGGATCCTCCCTAGTCTTCTTTCTTTACCTTAAAATACATTTGATTTTTTGTACTTTTGTGGTCATCTGTCAAAGTAAGAATTCTTTCACCAACAGCCATACCTTGGCCTTTCATGAACTGTCTGAAGAATTCATCCCAGGAGCCATAGCTTGGAATATCAGGGACATTGTTGTGGAAATGGAAAAAAGATACTGCCGTATCTTTAGGGTTTCGAAATATCACCAAAATCTAGAAAGAGAAAATTCAGTTAATTTATTCAGGTCTATATTTTGAACTTTGGAAAAGTGAAGGGGTGAACAATATCATTGTGTAATCTTGTATACGACATAATTTTGTTAACATACAGAGAAATTGAAGAAGCGGGGGTGGCAGATGGGGAAGTCTGGGGAGAGGGAAGAGAAAAGAAGAAAAAGCAGACTGATGTTGTAGCAGAGAACTTTTGCTAATGAACTTAGACATTAAGAAGGCATGTGTAGAAGATATGAAAAAAGCAAGGTGCCTGGGTGGCTCAGTCGGTTAAGTGTCTGACTCTTGAGTTCGGCTTAGGTCACAATCTCATGGTTTGTGGGATTGAGCCCCAAGCCAGGTTCTGCACTGACAGTGCAGAGCCGGCTTGAGATTCTCTCTCTCTCTCTCTCTCTCTCTCTCTCTCTCTTTGCCCCTCCCCCAGCTAGCATGTGTTCATGCGTGAGCAGTGCACACACTCTCTCTCTTTCTCAAAATAAATAAATAAACGTTAAAAAAAAAAAAGAAGATACCAAAAAGGAAAAAAGGGCAAGCTCATTAGAATAGTCATAAGGGCATGATCTGGAAGGGTAAACCACAAAGTAAAAATTGCAACATAATATTAAAAAGTAATATTAAGGACAATGAAAATAATGTTCAGAGTTTGGTCAGCAAAAATAAAAAAATGATAAGAGTAGCCAAAGCACCTATAGTTATGTTTGCAGGACATGAAGTTTGCTATTATACGTGAAATTCAGAAATAAAATTGCTTCAGACCTCACATAAATAATGCTCACCAGAAAGAACAAAAAAACACAACTTCTCGTTTTCCTATCACATTCTTTTGTTAAACTCTCTAAATATCTTAGTGGGATTCTGGAATCTATCCACTATAAAACAGATTTTAAAATATGTTCAATTCTAGGTATATGTTTTATATCCTAACTGAAAATGCATTCACTTTGAGCACAACAATAGCAAATATATTTGAAGAAAGAAACAACAGAAGAAATGCTAAATCGCACGTTTCATTTCTCAAAATTCTATGATAAGATGCAGACTTCATCACATAGCTCAGAAAGGCTATATCTAGACATTAAAAACTTCAAACTGAAATACGAGTAGGGAGGGACACTCACCTTGGCTTTATTCTTGAAGATGGACCCAGGTAATTTGTCATAATGGAGATGAGTTGCCAGAATCCTTGGGGATGGAAACTGTTTCATTCTCTTAAAAACAGACATGGTAAAGTAAAAGTGTGTATGTCTTATGGTGAATCGCTCTTAAGTGTAGTATCTGAATGGTAGTTCCAAGTATCACTACTGTGCCTTTTCTATTTCCCCCTCCAGTTTTTAAAAATTTATTTCTGTTTTCTTAATTTGTGGGGATGAGGAATGGAGAAAGTCATAAGTAATTTAAATCATCCTTCTGGACCGCCTTATAGGGTTTGGCTTACCATTTTGGAGGGGTCTTTTTTTTGAAAATTTTACCTTTTCTACAATCATACTAAATTCTTTTTAGAATTGATTCTTTGCAGCTCATAATTTGTGATCTATTCTGTCTTCATTTGGCTCTCTTCTATAGTCAAGGTCTTTACCAGAAATACTCAAGTTTTTCCATAGGTCTCCCAAACCCACTTTTAATATCTAGACTTTTTTTTTGCCAACAAAATTCCATGCAATCAAACATCCTAACAGAACCTGGAAGTGCACAGTCACTTGAATATCTGAGAAATATTTTACTAGAGAAATTCTTGTCAATGTAAGGACTCAGTGATTGATTCTTTGTGTGTGTGTGTGTGTGTGTGTGTGTGTGTGTGTGTGTGTCTGCTTCTACTGATAATTTTGAAAATGAAGTTACCTGTTTAATCTGCCAGGGTTAAGGGTTTTAGTACGTTATATGGGCTAAAGCCTCAAGTTTCATTTCCACACTTGTAGAGGTCACTCACAGCTGGGGCACATTATTTCAAGTGGTAAAATGATATTTAGACGTTTATAGCCAATGTTTCTGTAGAAACTTAGTGGACACTAGACACCAGCTCATGTCATGATCTCGCAGTCCATGAGTTGGAGCCCTGCCTTGGGTTCTGTGCTGACAGCTCAGAGCCTGGAGCCTGCTTCAGATTCTGTGTCTCCCCCTCTCTCTCTGCCCCTCCCCTGCGCACT